TATTACCTGAATACATCTCATTCTGGGATGCTTCTCATGGTTGAGGCTTCAAGTGGGTAATCCATCCCTGCCCACCTTCCCCCTATGTTTGAGGGAATTGATGCCCAGAAAGGTTCAGTCATTTGTCCACAGTCACACAGCAAGTTAGCTGCCAAGTCTGGATCTGGGCCGAACTCCTATGTGCTTTCCAGGAAATCACACGTCAGATACTTCTTGGTCCCATTCAGAAGTCCCAAGTCATGCATGGTGGCTATCAGCTGAGCACATAGACACAGCAGGGCATTAAACCCTGAAGGCTGAACAAACAGATTCAGCCTGTGTGTCATAAGCATGAGCAGTGACAGCCGGTGGATTACAGAATTATTACTGTGCTCCAAGGCAGCTGGACTTAGGCAAAATTTGGCTCACACAAAAGGTTATTATAACCCAAATGAAGATTTTTTTTCCTTCTCACTTCCCTAGACCATCCGTAAGGAAAATCGGGGTCCCTGCAGGCAGCAGTCCTGCATCTTCTCAGTAAGGTCACACACTAAATGACAGAGGTCGTAGGGCTCATGTCCAAAACCAGACATCCCTTTCACCCTCATCCTGGCTGTGTGGCGATCTCCTTCCTGCCCTATCTCTGCTGCTCTGTCATCTCCTCTTAGCTTTCATTGCTCCTCTGGCCCATGGGAAGGAGCAGGGCTCATAGCTTAGGGTCTGATACACTTGGATTCAAATCCCAGCTCCACTGTGTGGCCCTCCGTCAGTGGCTCACCTCTCTGAGCCTCGATTTCCTCATCCATGAAATGGATCCCTCCTCCCAGGCTATTAGGAGAGGTCCATGAGAGAGCGTCTGTGAGCACTTGGCTCAGTGCCTGGCACACAGTAGGAATTCAGTAAATATCGATGCCTTCACCCTGCTGGATTGTGAGTTCCTATTTTTCTCTGCCATATGTAGGGCCAGCTTTGGAGGCTTTCCATGCAACCATCAATAATAACACGAGGCTGGACGAGGTGGCTCATGCCTGTAATCCCAGCACTTTGGGAGGCCGAGGCGGGTGGATCACTTGAGGTCAGGAGTTCGAGACCAGCCTGGCCAATATGGTGAAACTCCATCTCTACTAAAAATACAAAATTAGCTGGGCATGGTGGTGCATGCCTATGACCCCAGCTACTTGGGAGGCTGAGGCAGGAAAATCACTTGAACCCGGGAGGCAGAGGTTGCAGCGAGCCGAGATCACACCATTGCACTCCAGCCTGGGCAACAAGAGCAAAACTCTGTCTCAAAGTAAATAAACAAATAAAATAATAATAATAACACAAATTGTGTGTCTTTCCATGAGCAGCCCTTTCCTGCATTCGGCTCTGCATTGGTGCTGTGCGGAAGACACTAGGACTACCCTTAGGCCCCAGACAGAGGAACCCATGTCTACGGGCTCCCAGAGGGGCCCTCCTGAGGCTGCACACCTTCCCACAAGGTCATATACACATTCCACAGGGTCCAAGGGATGTGACCACCATGAGCCAGTACCCTCCAACTTCTAATTTGAACCCTGGGTACACCAGGCCCCAGAGTCCCTGCCCGTGGGCCTCTCCCCCATTCATTCAGCTGAGGGTGGAGAGGCACACTGGTGTGTACCCAGGCTTAAGGCTGGACAAGGGGGCTGTGCTTGGGGGTTGAGCCTGAATAGAAGGTGGGTTGTCCCTCTTCATGGACCAGAGCTGCTCAAGTGGGAGGACAGAGTTTGGAATGGCAGGAGAAGAGGGGTGAGGGGCAGGCCACAGGCCAGGGCCTCAGATGGAGGCTGGCACTCCCCAGCCACCACTTGCTGGATCCAGCTCCAAGGAGCCTGGGAACTTTACATTCTAAGGTGGCCTCCAGCTCACCATGAAAATAAGCACACCAAGGCGGGAGGGCAGGGTAGTTTGTGCCTAACAGCGTATTAGCCTGACATATAACTTCTCAATACTGAGAGAGTACTTGCAGCATTTGTCATCTCAGGGTAGAACTCTGCCAGTGCCAGGGGTGTCCTGTGTCATCCCAGTGGTTTTCTCGACCACTGACCCACAGGGGACAACACATTTGTCAAATAAGGAAAGTGCTGGGCCCGAGCCTTTCAATACACAAGTATAGAATAACAGGCTTAAAGGCTACAAATAGCATCAAAGCACGAGGGATGATAATGCCTCTAGAGACCAGGTTCAAGTTCCCATGTGACAAGTGTCACCTCCACCCTTGGTGCCACTTGCACAACAAGGGTATTAGCTTCTCTCCTCCCCCAGGGCCTGTCTAGGATCCCCCTTGGTAACCTGAACCTGTCTCTTCCCTTCCCATACTCCAGAATGAGCCCCTGGGCCCAGGTCAGGCACCTGAGACTCAGATGGACAACCTCCTGTGCCCCCTGCCCCTCTCCTCTTGCTCATTCTTGCTGGTTTTGCCATCCTGGCAGAAGTCATCAGAATGACAGTGATAGTTATGAGCACTCATCTTGTGTAGGCGCTGACCTTCACATTCACCCTCGACGGGGCTCTAGTGCCATCCTCATTTTACAGACAGACAAAATGAGGCTCAAATTGGGGCTAATCCTGTGCCTAAGGTCACAGTTGGTAAGGGGCAGAGCCTGGAATTGAACACACATCTCTCCGAGTCCCAGAGCCAACACATCTGCCCCCAAGGCTAGAAACCACAGATCAGAGGGACCTTCTGGGCATTCCTCTGTGTCATGGGACAAGTCACTTGCTGACCTCTGTTTCCCTGGGGAAGTGGCTTTGGGGGATACCTGGGGTCATCTAGAGCTGAGGGATCCTGGGAATCCAGGAGTGGAGCTGGGGCAGCCTGAGAGCGAGGCCCACCCCACTCCAGCTCAGATGACCAGTCCCAAGGGCCCAATCAGGCCAGCCTTGGATCAGGCCATAAGTGGGAACAAAACAGTCAGGGAGCTTGCCTCTCCCGCTTTGTTTATGGTCTGGGAGCTGAGAATATTTTGAATTGTTGTGTTTGGGGAGGGAGGGAAAAATAACCAAATATAAGAAGGCAGTCACTGGGAGGCCCGGGCAAGAATGCAGAGGAATCAGGCCTGCCTGGGGATGTCTGGGCCACCGGAATGCTCGGAGGCCCAGCACCCTCTAGCTCAAGGATCCAGCACTGATGAGACATTCACGTTGCCTGGAGAGCTTTATCTTAAAGAACGAAGGACAAAGAAGAACAAGAAGGAGAAGGAGAAGAAAAAGAAGCAGCAGCCGCTGCCACGATCTCATGCCCATTTAAATGAGAATTTCTGAGCGTGGGACCCCAGGCATCAGAACTTTTTCAGTTTCTCCTTGGGCCACCAAGGTTGAGAACTGCTACCTCCCGTAGCAGTGGTTCTGAAACGCCAGCTGTCTCGGAAGCCCCTGAAGTGCTTGTTAGACAGGACCGTGCCCCATCACAGAGTTTCTGATTCATGAGGTCTGGGCTGGGCTGGGGCTTTGTTTTTCTAACAAGTTCCCAGGTGAAGCTGCTAGTCTGGGGGCTAGACTTTGTGAGCCTCTCCCCTGCATTCTCAGGACTCCTTTTGTGGCTTGTGGACCCACAGCCTGGGATGTCTCCCAGGAGCTTGTTAGAGATTCAGAATCTTGGCACAGTAGCTCACACCTGTAATACCAGCATTTGGGGAGGCTAAGGCTAGAGGATTGCTTGAGCCCAGAAGTTTGAGATCAACCTGGGCAACATAGAGACACCTCATATCTATTTTAAAAAGCAGTCTATGGCCATACCACCCTGAATGCGCCCGATCTCATCTGATCTCAGAAGCTAAGCAGGTTTGGGTCTGGTTAGTACTTTGGCGGGAGACTGCCTGGGAATAACGGGTGCTGGAGGCTTTTGGTTTGGCCGGGCGCAGCGACTCATACCTGTAATCCGAGCACTTTGGGAGGCTGAGGCGGGCAGATCACGAGGTCAGGAGATCGAGACCAGCCTGGCCAACATGGTGAAACCCCATCTCTACTAAACATACAAAAATTAGTTGTGTGTAGTGGCAGGTGCCTATAATCCCAGCCACTCGGGAGGCTGAGGCAGGAGAATCGTTTGAACCCGGGAGGCAGAGGTTGCAGTGAGCCGAGATCTCACCATTGCAATCCAGCCTGAGCAACAAGGTGAGACTGTCTCAAAAAAACAAATAAATAAATAAATAAAATAAAAATGCGGAGCGTGATGGCTCACACCTGTAATCCCAGCACCTTGGGAGGCCGAGGCAGGTGGACTGCTTGAGCTCAGGAGTTTGAAACCAGCCTGGGCAACATGGCTAAACCCTAGTCTCTATAAAAAATACAAAAATTAGCTGGACATGGTGGCTCATGGCTATAGTCCCAGCTACTTGGGATGCTGAGGTGAGAGAATGGCTTGACCCTAGAAGATGGAGGCTGCAGTGAGCTGTGATCATGCCACTGCACTCCAGCCTGGGTGACAGAGTGAGATCCTGTCTCAAAAATAAATAAATAAATAAATAAATAAGAAAGAAGGAAATTCAGAATCTCCAACCCCACCTCAGACCTACTGAGTCAAATTCGTATGTTAACAACGTCCCGCCGTGAGTATATGCACTTTTCAGTTGAAGCGGGACTGGAAGGTCACCTTGGCTAACCTCATGCCATTGATGGGGAGACCGAGGCAGAGGAAGATGGAGGTCCCTCTGGGTTACAGAGCCACTAAGGATCCACTCACGGCTTGGAATTAGGTTTCTGCAGAGGAGATGGGGAGAGAAGGGGGCTCTTGTGGGTAGAGCTGAATGCATAGTCTTAAAGACCAGCCCCTTTCTCCATAGCTACACAAATGGTTAGCTTTGCAGTCTGTGGAACGGGGGTGGGAGCGTGGGGGGAAACTGTAGGCAGCTCCAGCTCCATTCATTCAGCAGAATTTGTTGGACATCTGCCATGGGGCTGGGCACTGCTGTAGGCCCTGGGGACACATGAAGTGGGCAGTCTAGTGTGAAAACAGACAGAAACAAGTCAATATGTAAATGATCAAGGTCCACTCACCCGTTATCCAAGTTAGAATGAGAATAAAATGAGGTGATGGCTTAGGGCTGGTGCAGGGGAGGGAGGAGGCAGCTGGGGCTATCTGAGAAATGGTGGTCTGGGAAGGTCTCTGGGGATGAGACACTGGAGCTGAGGCCTAGGGAGGAGGACCCAGCCCTGGGAAGGGCTGAGGGGAAGTGCCTGGGGCAGGGAACAAGACGGGGCAAAGGCCCTGAGGCAGAAAGAGGGGAGCCTGGAGTTGGAGGGAAAGCCAGGAGGCCAGAGAGGCTGGGGGTGAGGGAGGCAGAGGAGAGTGGCGGAGGTTCTGGCAGGAGTTATCTCAGTGGCTGCCAGGAGTGTGGCTTAGTGGCAGTGTGGTGGGGGCCATGGGGTGGTTCAAAGTAGGAAGCAAGCCTGAGTGGGTCTGGAAGTCTGGGGGTTTTCCTTGGGATTTTACTGAGGTCTACACTTCCTACAGTGAAATGTGACAGCACGTACTGGTGTGGCCTGCCCCAGGTAAGTGTGGAGCCCCTTCCTATCCCTCAGGTTCTCTCATACACCACCCACCCAGCACCAATCGCCACATCACCCAACTCACCCACTGCACCCAAACTCCCACCCCATGGCCACCCCACTCACCCATGCCACTACACCCCACCACCTCACCTCATACCCACCCACCCACCCCACCACCTCACGCTCAACTCACCCCACCTCACCTCACACCCCATTCCACCCATCTCACTTCACGCCCCCACCCCACCCATCTCCACCTCACCTATACCCCACCCACCCCACCTACACCTCATGCCCCCACCCACCCCACCTCACCTTCACGCCCCACCCCACCTCACCTCACCCCACCTCACCTCACACCCCATCCCACCCATCTCACCTCACGCACCCACCCCACACACTCACCTCACCTCACCACCCTTATTCATCCCCTCCACCTCCACTCCTCCCCCAACATCCTCACTCCACCTCACCACCACCCACTCCATCCAACCATCTCACCCACCCCACTTCCACCCCACTCTTATCCCACCCCACCCCACCCCACTCCCACCTCACCACCCATCCCACTCCACTACACCACCCACCCACCCCATCTCCACCCACCACCACTCCACCTCACCCCAACCCCCCACCCACTCCACCGTCACCCCATCCCTCCTCACCTCTGGAGGCAACCACTGCTCCTATTCCCATGACCCTCATTCACTCTGCCTGACTTTGAAGTCCATGTAAAGGGACCCACTGCAGGGCATCTGGTCCGTGGCTCTGGCTTCTCTCACTGGGCTCACTGTGTTTTGGAGACACACCCCTCTGCCCCCTTGGTTTGGAGCCTCTCATAGCCTGTTCCTTTTCACCTGTGAGTTACAGTCCTTCCATCTGTTTTTCCATTCTTCTATTGACAGATACAACCAGGGCTGTTTCCATTTTGGACTGTATGAATACCACTGCCATTCACAAGTCTTTGGGTGAACAAACATTTTCATTTCTCTCTGGTCAATTACCTGGGTGTGCAATTGCTGGCTCACAGTGTTGTGTTTAATCTTATAAGAAATTTATAACCTTATCGGAAACTGCCAGAGTAGCTGGGCGTGGTGGTGTGCCTATAACCCCGGTTACTTAGGAGGCTGAGGTGGGAGGATCACTGGAGCCCAGGAGTTCAAGGCCAGCTTGGGCAACAGCATTTTTTGGAGACTTTGTCTCAGAAAAAAAAAAAGATAAAAGTAAAAGAAAAGAAACTACCAAATTGTTTGCTGCAATGGCTATACGCCATAGAGAGTCCCAGGAGTGGAGATGGGCTGTCGGGGAGGAGAGGAAGCCAGGGAGGAAGATGTCCCCTGCAGTCAGCCAGAAGGGAGAGAACATGGCCCAGCCTGGGGTGGCTGTGAAGCTGGAGAGCATCTGTCTGCAGTGCTAGTGAATGACTAAATGTGCTGTGGGTCCCCAGTTTCCTGCAGGGCTGTCTCCAACACTGACAACTTCCCTGTCTGTCCACCTCTGGGGCAATTTTGCTGTGCCCACCAAGGGAGAAGAGGAAGTGAGCCCAGGCACTTGCCACCCACAGACCACATCCTGCAAGGGTTTCCTGGGGTCCACTGTGCTCCAGGCCCCATGCTGGGACTGCTTGGCATCCCCGCCTCCTGGGTATTCTCTTTCTGAGGCTCCAAGTTTGGCAGAGACCCAGGATGCAAGAGGGCAATGGGCAAAGTGCTTGGCAGGAGGGAGCAGCAAGGGTGAAGTCCTGGAGGCAAGAAAGCCTGGAGCATACAGGTGGCAGGGGTAGGTGGGAGTCCTGCTTTCCGGAGTGCTAGACTGTGTGCCAGGGACCTGGCTAGATGCTTCACATCAATCATGTCCACTCACTCCACACAACAATCTGCAGCAGAGGGGTTATGATTAACAGGCTGTACAAATCAAGAAACCGAGGCACAGAGCGGTCACATTATTCACTCTAGGTCACATAGCCCATGAGGGATGGAACTGAGATTTGCATGCGGGCAAGAGGAGGGTGGTGGGCAGGAAGCAGATCCCTGAAGGCCCAGATGCTCTGACAAGGCTCTGCAGCCACCTACACACCCAGGGAAATGGACACACTGCAGTGTGCCCAGGAGATGCTGGCCAGGTCAGGGAGGCAGCCACCCAGCAGCCCTGCCACTGACCCTTGGTCTCTTCAGGGCTGCTCCCAGGGATGATGTTCTGAGACGTGTAAGACGCGGACCAGACAATCCTCAATCTCCAGCAAGATCCCTGAGCTGGCCCTGTGGCCCAGGATGGGCTGCAGCTCCCACAGCATTGCAACAACTCTTGTTGGTGGCCTGATAGATGAGACAAACTCTTCCCTAGCAAGGGACGAGAAGTTTTGATCAAAGTCCTGGATCAATTTTATTTTACTATTGAGAGCTGCTAAAGTAAGTAATCATAAAGTAGGCTTTGAAAAATCTCATTCACTGCCTCTAAGTGGACAGCTGTAGACTACAGCCTGAAAATTGGCCCTCCAGGAGCTCTGTCCAGCAATCAATTTTCATTCTTGAAGTGAGAAGAATTAGTCCCAGTGGAATTTCAGCCTAGTCTACGGTTCTCTGCCTGGCTTTCCCTGAAGCTCCCTCCTTGTTGCCAAAGCTTTTCATTTCCCTTGGTACTCAGTTGTCTTCCAGGGGGCAGGGTGCACAAAGTGCATCATGGATCTCAAATTCAGCTCCCTGCAAGGGCTGGTAGGTGACAGAAAGGAGCAAACTAGCTAGGAGGGAGCTGTGGCCCCCTGGGGAGCCCATGTCCCCATGTGAGAGGGTGGCGAATGCCCCTCAGCTCCAGGACATTGTAGACAGGTGGGTAATGGGCCTGGGGGGCCCCATTCTGCCATATTTCAAGATAAACCAGGCATTCAGGTTTTGTTGTTGTTGTTATTGGTGTTGTTTGGAGACAGGGTCTTGCTCTCTCGCCTAGGCTGGAGTGCAGTAGTGTAATCATAGCTTACTGCAGCCTTGACCTCCTAGACTCAAGTGATCCTCCTGCCTCAGCCTCCTGAGTAGCTGGGACCACAGTCACGCACCACCATACCCGGCTAATGTCTTAAAAATTTTTGTTAGAGATGAAATTTTACTTTGTTGCCCAGACTGGCTAGATTTTTAAAATGTGAAATCTTCCACATTTTTATTCATAAAAATTAACTCCAAACACATTAAAGCTCAGTGATGGCCAAAGAAGCGCATCTGGGAACTGGATTCAGTTTAAGGCCCTCAGTTTGAGACCTCTAATCTCCTCAGAATGGCTCAATGAGGCAAGGTGTATTTTATCTCATATTACAATGAGGAAACTGAGGCTCAGAGAGCAGGCCTGCAGGCCCAAGCCACGCAGCTGGGAAGCCACAGAGCTGAGGTGGAGCTAGGGTCTGTGGCCTCCCACACTGAGCTCTCTCCACCCCGTGCATGCCTCTAGCTTTGGCACTGGCTCCTCCTGGTCCCCGCTCTGGTCTGACCATCTCTTTTCCACCTCATCTGTCACCTCTCCCTGGGGCTGAGGTTGGGGATCTTCTTGCCTCCTCCTCCTCCTTTCTCTCTTTGGGGCTAGGTTTTTTTGTCTGGCAATTGCCCACCCAGAATCCCCTCATTCAAGATTGTAACCTCTGGAGCCAGGTGGCCTCGGTTTGAATTCCAGCTGTACCATCTGCCAGCTGAGTGACCTTGGGGAAGTTACTTAACTTCTCTGTGACTCAGTTTTACCTTCTATAAAACGGAAGAAATAATTGTACCAATCTCATAGGGGTGTTGTCAGGATGAAAAGGGTTAACTTATTAAAATGCATTTAACTATGCAGGGTACATAATTCGGTGCCAAAGAAAAGTAAGTTAAAGTCAGGCATGGTGGCCTGTAATCTCAGTACTTTGGGAGACCGAGGCGGGCGGAACACCTGAGGTTGGGAGTTTGAGACCAGCCTGACCAACATGGAGAAACCCCGTCTCTACTAAAAATGCAAAATTAGCCAGGCGTGGTGGGGCATGACTGTAATGCCAGCTACTTGGAAGGCTGAGGCAGGAGAATCGCTTGAACCCAGGAAGCAGAGGTTACAGTGAGCTGAGATTGCGCCATTGGACTCCAGCCTGAGCAACAAGAGCGAAACTCTGTCTCAAAAGAAAAAAAAAAAAGAAAAGTATGTTAAAATAAATGCAGCAAACACTTATTGAGCACGTACTGTGTGCCAGGCCTATGATAGACTCCAGGAGTCGATGGAGGCAAAAGGAACAGATCCCATCCCTCATGGAGCTGGTAACTGGATAGATGGTTCACTCATGTGTCCTGTGCTGGCACTACCTGCACGAGGCTCTGCTGGCCTACCTGGAGGTCAAAGGATCCCATGGGCCTTTCCAAACTGCAGCTCTGAACACAACTCTTCCCTCCTCCCACAGCCACTGCCCTTGCTCACTCTCTCAGACCCTCAAGCTCAGCCCTGCCACCAACAACCTTGCTCTCAGGCCTTTGCACGGCAGGCACCTCTGCTAGAACTTGCTTCCTCTCCTGCTGGCTTCACTGCTCGTGGCTTAGTCAAAGCCTCCTTTTGGTTCAAACCTCAACCCTAGAGTTCCCTCCCCACGCTAGGACCTGCCCCTTTGCTTCAGCCTTTGTGCCCTGTGCGGCCACACATGCACAGGGCGTCTGAGGAGTTTTTGCTTGATGTCTGTTCCTGCAGCTCATGAGGGAACCTCACATCTGAAGCAGAGGGATATGGGAGACCCAGTCACTTGTCTTCCTCAGCTTTTGTTTTCTCACCTATAAAAGGGTACGGTGATCCTGAACTCAAAGGAGAGTGCTCAGGTGGCCAGAAGCAGATGTCACGTGGGCCACTGGGACCCTAGAGGCACTGCTGGTCCCCAGGTGCTTCCTGGAGGAAGGGGCCACCTGGGGCCAGCAGAGAAGGGTGAGGAGGGCGCCAGAGGAAGACAAGGAAGGGCATATGCCCAGTGGTCCTCGTCTGGCTTGGCTGGAGCCAGTATGAGGAGCACCCACCGGAAGGTCAGGTTGGAGTCCGACGGCAGGGGCCTCCAGGGAGAGACAGTGTCACTTCAGGATGCTCCTTAGCATCCTGGGGCTGTACAGAGAGAGCAGCTGCAGAGCCCTTCCAGGCGGGGATCTTGGCCCGAGTGGGATGGTTCTTGGTCAGACCTGTGTGGTATTTCTTCTTCTTCTTCTTCTTTTTTTTTTTGAGACTCACTCTTGTCACCCAGGTTGGAGTCCAGTGGTGTGATCTCAGCTCACTGCAACCTCTGCCTCCCAGGTTCAAGCGATTCTCCTGCCTCAGCCTCCTGAGTAGCTGGGATTATAGGGGCCCGGCACCACACCCGGCTAATTTTTGTACTTTTAGTAGAGACGGGGTTTCGCCATGTTGGCCAGGCTGGTCTCGAACTCCTGACCTCAGGTGATCTGCCCCCTCGGCCTCCCAAAGTGCTGGGATTAGAGGCGTGAGCCACCGCGCCTGGCCGGTATTTCTTCTTTTATTCTCAGTGTAAATGGTGGAAGGATCGGCTCTCTCCTCCCTGCCTCCCAGGTGCAGAGGGAGAGAGGGGGAACAGGGGAAAGCTGGGGTTGGGGGTTCTCACAGCGTTTCCCTCTCATGCTGCCAGGGCAGGGCTGTGAAAAATGGTCCCTGAGGGCCCGTTCATTCAAATAAGGACAAGAATAATGGCACACTCCCCATCTCCATTTAAAAATAGTCACATTAGCTGACACTGGCTTGGCACTTCCTAGATGCCGGGTGTGTTCCGAGGTCTCTATGCTGTTAACCTTGGATCTTCGTAACAGCCAGAGAAGACAAGCGCTACTATTTTTCCTGTCCATTTTATAGATGAGGACACTGAGGCACAGAAATTGTGAGTCACTTGCCCAGGGTCACACAGCCATGGCAAGGCCAGGATTCTGGAGCTCTGTACCTGGCTTCACACCACAAGC